TATTTTGCAAAATAACAATACAATGAACCTTTCGGACTGGAAAAGTAAAGGAGTCCTATGCCTGGAACGCATATATGAAGGATTGGACTTCATCCCATTTAACAGAATAGTCTCCCAATTTGGAATAGATAAGAATAGCTTTTTAGAATATCACCAAATTAAATCTGTAGTTAAACAAAAATTTAAGCTCAATAAAGTAGAATTAAAAACACCACCAAGGGTATTAGACTTCTATAATCTCAGACCCCCCCCCCCCCCCCCCAAACTACTGTCTAAAGTTTATAAGACACTGTCCAAAATAGACCCATGCTCTGGGTGGCATTTTGGCAACGGAGGTGCCTATTGGGGCCAGTGGGGGAGCTGACTGCCTGGAGGGCTTAGGCCAACCGGCCATTCCTCCCCATCCCCACACACATTTTTCTCCTCCTGCTCCCTCACATCATCACACACACATGCACATAGGACCTTGGGGGTGGACAAGTCAGGGAGTGCGGGTATGGACCCCATTTAAGCCGGGCGTACACTGTGCGACTTTTTCACTCGCAGCACTCAGCTTCAGCTCAAACTGTACGACTTCCTCGCAGAGCAGATCTCACGAGTCATGTGCTCACACTGTACGACCCAGTTCTCATATGCGACCTGACTGCTCACACTGTACGTCTGGTAGCAACACGTCGGCCCTAAAAATGTGCTAAAAATAGCAGTTTTTACTCAACACGTCAGACTTTTTTGTCTTGTCTTGCCTGATGTCCTTCGGGAGTGCTGCAGGAGGACACACAGGGATTTATGGGGGTTGGATGAGGAAAACGAAATAAAGACAGTAAATCTGTGTTTTGTGATCAGTTTAATTTGACATGAACACGACAAACACGCTTTCTTGACAATCTTTGTGAGTAAAAAAAACGTGTAGAAACAAAAATGAACAACGTGTGTTATTAGGGAAATAGCGAGCGACCGGTGTTGTGCCATAAATCGACTCACTGCCAAAAAATGATTAGCTTAGTTTTTTCCAGTTCGGAAGCTGTTTTAACTGTTGCTATTTGTCTTAAACGTTTACAATGAGGATATATTAATCCTTTTTGCAATATTTACGATTGAAAGATGGTTTGTGGTAAGAACTGGCTTTCTTTATTTTACAGCCTTGATACTAAAAAATAAATAAACAATGTAAAATGGCGCCCTGTATTGAATGTAAACGTTGTATAAATGTAAATAAACAATTCTCCAGCGATTTGATTTTTTTCCCCTTCCTTTCTTTAGTGGCTAATCATTTTTTGGCAGCGAGTCAATTTATGGCACAACACCGGCGTTGATGCAGGATTGCGCGCGCATGCGCCGTGAGCGGTTCTGATACTTTTTGGGTCGCAGCTGCTCGCAGCGCCGCTTCAACAGTGCGATACCCTCACGAGGGACGAGCGAAATATTAAACACACCAGAAGTCCGTGCGACCTCACAACTGCTGATCGGCGGCTGGTCACGTGGTGTTAATCGCCTCTCGTAACCCCCTGTACACTACACGACCGCTCGGCGCAAAACTCGCCCCGATGTCGTGGCTTCTCGCACGACTGGAAAATCGGCTCAAAAAAGTGAAAAAGTCGCACAGTGTACGCCCGGCTTTACGCATTCCTGTGGCAGACTGCCCCCCACTTTTATTTGCACATTAAACACTTCCACCAATGACATTCCACGCAAACACACACCCAATGACATTCCACGCAAACACACACTTAGGGCCTTGGGAGTGAGCACATTCAACGGCATTTGGCAAGGGAATCTTTCAGCCTCATCCCAAGTGCCAGTGCCCACTTCCAATTTTAAACTGCACTTAGACAGAGAGGGCTGTGGGGGGAAGAGGGCTGGTGTGGTGGCATCAGCTGGCATAGGCCAGACGATGCCTGCACTGCCCGCTCACCACAGCCACGAATACACCTCATCAACACGAACCAACACTGTATTGGAGCAGGGGGAGGGAGACTAGGGGTCTTAACACACCTCTGTTGTCGCTTGGCTTCCCGGGGCTGGAGGCTAGGAGGGGGATCTGGTTGTCTGGCTGGAGTCTGGGGTGGTGGGTCGCTTTGCTCGGCGTTGGGTGGGGGAGCCTGCTCATCAGCACCCCAGCAGGAAGGGTCAAACTCTGGGAACTGATGATGGTAGTACCCTTTGTGCAGCAGTACCGGGACCAGAGTGAATAGGGTGTGTATGGGGAGCATGAGTGGGTGTCTGGCGTACATTTTTGTATGTCTTAGGTTGTATGTGTATGTGAGAGCTTGAGGGAGGGAGTATTTGACTGTGTTTGTGTATGACTGTATATATCAGGTGGGGCCTTTGACTTCTCTCCTCTCCTGGGACTTTTTTTTTTTTGCTGCTACACATTTTCACCTCCTCTCTTCCTGCCACACTCGGTGTGGAGTGTGGTGCCTTGGTCAGCCTAAGTGTTCGCGGATCCCCGGTCAGGGGGTTTAAGATTTTTGATGTCTACCTGATTATTCTCGGTGGCTGCCTGGTGGGATCTGGGTCCCTGGGCTCTATTGGGTCCCCAGCAGGGCTGGTCACCTCTGGGTCCCGAGTCGCTGGGTTCTGGGCTCAGCCGACTTGGGGGCGGGAGGCTGCGGGCGGGCCTGTGGGCTTGCTGCTGATTTCCCCCAGGACTCTGCCGGCTGCTGGTTGTGACCCCCTGGGGCAATCCTCTGTGCCTCTTGAGGGGGGAAGGGGCTTTTTTGGTTGCAGTCTCCCTGGGCTCCCTGCGCTCCGGGGCAGCTCCTGGATCCCTGAGACTTGGAGCTCCTTCCATCTCCTACACATCTTTGGGGGGCATATCTGTGGCCCCTCACACTCTCTATTGGACACTCCTATAGAGAAACCTTACATATGCAAGCGCAGGTACGCACACCGGTGCTCACATGGTGCTATCTTATGTATGGACTTGGGCACGTTCAACACTTGTCTTAAGGCTGTGGTTGGCACTTAATGTATTGTCATTTATTATCGTTTGATTGTTCAGTAAAACAATGTTGATTTTATATTTCCTCGTCAGTTAGACGCAGTGATTGTTTGCTCCTGTTGTATTGTTGTGTGTTGTTTTTTTTTCTTCCTCCTTCTGCAGGTCTAGAAGCAGACTCTTGTTCATCATTGATTGTTTCTTTTTTGTGGAACCCCCCCTTTTCTCTCGTCCTCTCTCATTCACCTCTGTCTCCGTGTCCGGTCGGAATTACAAGCATTCAAAAAACAATAAAAATAAAGTTTTTTAAGTATCAGGCGTGACATTAAAAGCAGAAGCTTTGATGCTCCACCTGAGAGTAAATCTGTAAGGCTTGTCACCAGCATTCAGACATTAATTCTGTTTGCTTCACAGCCAGACAGGACATGAAAAAAATAAATAAATAAATATATATATATATATATATATATATATATATATATATATATATATATATATATATATAAATAAAATGTTTGAGAAACACATGGTGGGGAAGAAAAAGTAATGATAATTGAAGTTGAAGAAATCAATTAACAGTTAAATTGTAAGACAGATGGTATGAGAGTGTAAAAATGAGCTATGAAGTGTTTTGGTAACAGTTGGTGTAAATCAGGGATTCTCAAAGTGTGGTGCGCGCACCCCCAGGGTGCGCGAGCTGCCGCTAGGGGGTGCGCGAGGTGAAAAGTGTAATGGCTGTGGAGCTCAGAGAAGTCTGTCATGTGTCACCATTATTGTAGAAACTCATTTGTGGGTGGGCCAAAGAAAAAGTAAGTGGGCACAATAAATGTAATTGAAAACAAGTATATTTTTGCGCGCGCGCGTGTCCTCCGCATGTGCCCTAGCTTCATAATAACAATGCGTCGAGCTTCAGCACTCTGGTCTGCGCACGCCGATATGTTCCGTATTTGATCATTTTTAACGGTGTTGAAGAAATCTGAAGGTGGCGAGTCATTCTGGCAGATTGTAATTAACACCCTGTCTCATGCAGGTGTTCTGACATTGTACACCTCACACACAGAACATTGTGGATGTAACAAAATAACAAGAAATGATTCCCATTCAGGCTATTGACAGCGCGCTGAAGATCTGAAGTTCAGAGTGCGTCTGTCAGAGGTCAGACGAGTTCCAGCGCAACCACGGCTCACGGGTGCACACGTGAGCACATCTGGGTTGGGCAGAAGTTTAAATAGCGCCAATAACAAGACGCAGTGACTTGAGCGGCTGTGCCGCGCGCGCGGCACACACAGATTCAATAAGCGCACACGCTGCTTTAACTCCGGCGCGCCGTCAGACTGAAGGCAGAAATGAACGCTGCGTCCACCACGATAAAAACTTTTAAGAGGTTATTTTTCATTCAAGGTCAAATTAAGATATTAGCTTCTGGGATGAGTCGGGTCGCTACAGCCAGTGACTCCTCATGAACCTGACCACAAGTCCTGTTACTGCAGCATGTGTTATTCCAGTCAGCGTGGCAGCGGATCGCAGATTCAGCCACACCATAAAACAGCAATAAGTCGGTCTGAGGTAAAAGTGAACCTCATGGCTATATCTTGTCCCCTATTGACATTTGATTACGCACAAGTAGGTGATCAGCTCAGGTTTAAGCAGAGCAGAAGGAAGGAGAGCGCTCTGGCCACACAGGTTAAACGTTCCTACTTTAAGAAAACCGTTAAATTGCATTGTTTATGTGCTACCTGGGCACTCTAAATATTTATTTAATATTAAATCAAAGGAATTTGTAATGGTATTGAATGTTTATTAATTACTATTTAAAAAATGAAAGTGATGGGGAATTTTTTTTAACCCTGTCTGTTTAGCTTGACGTCTGATATATATATATATATATATATATATATATATATATATACATGGTCGGGACATAGAAGGGGGTGCGCGGCTAAATAAGTTTGGGAACCACTGGTGTAAATAATCATCAATAAATTGAGTTAAATCAAATATGTGATCCATAATTACAAATTATTGCTGTAAAATGTAGTGGGAATATATGTTGTAGTTAGAGCTGAAACAACTAATCGATTTAATCGATTATTAAAATAGTTAACAACTTTTTTAGTCATCGATTAGTTGTTTAATAATCATATTTTACCGCATAAAGTCTATTTTTACCACAATCTGACATCGGTTACAAGCTGTTAAATTTGCCGCCAGTGTGTGGCAGTAATGAGCCACTGATCTACCAGTGGAGCCGTAGAAGAAGAAATGAGCCAATGAGTGCCCTCGGTTTTCATGACGTATCACGTTACTGATGCTCATCTTGCTGTGAGAGATGGCGGAACAAGAGGAAATACGGAAGAAAAATAGAAGCGACAAAACTGAAGAGAAACCCCGGACAAAAACCTCACGAGTATGGGAGCACTTCACTCTAGATGCTTGAAAAGACGGGTGACCTGCAAAATATGCAAAAACCATCTAGCATGGCACGGAAGCACGACGTCCCTAAGTGAACATTTGAGACGAAAGCATGTGGGGGCTGATGCAGCAGAGGAAGAGCACCGCGGTCAAGTGAGCCGTCATTTGGAAGAGCCAGCCCGGTAAGTAACAGAAAATAAACAAGCAGGACTTAGTGTTTTAGCTGAGTTCGTTATAGTGGATGTTAACCATGTTTTTTTGCCGCGTCAGTCTACGGTGTTCTACTTCTGATTGACTAAATGCAATCGTGAATCTCCTCCGTGTTGTGTGTCATGCGCTTGCCAAATTTAGCACGTCTGTTTATAAGAATGTTCTCGTTAAGAGAAAAACTGCACAAACCCATAACTATGTTCCTCATTCAAAAAAGGACAACTCCTCGGAGAAAAATATACAGACGAGCTGTATCCAGGTGAATATAACGCGGCATAGTTGTACGCTTTCAATTTTTAAATACAGGAGAAATTCAGAAAAAGTATTTTCTTTACTATTAAAAGGCTGTTTTACTATCTAACGCTGTAAAACGCCTCACAACACATTTTTATCATGTTTCTTAAACAGTATTACACAAAATAAACATTTTTCACATTTCTCTAGCTAATTTAAACACTCCCGACTCAAAGTAAAAGCCTCATGAGCTTCTTACTCAGAGCTTTTTAATAGTAAAAAAATTAGACTTTTCTGAATATCTCCTGTTGCGGGCTATTTTGTAGAACGTAACCCTCGAAATAAATGATCACTGTATATTGTTAATTAATTCAAATAATATAATATTGATTTAGTGTTGTAGTGTGTGTGCTGCTTTACTTTATATGTGTACTTATTTCAGTCTATTTGTGTTTCTTATGCAGAAAAAAAGCAAGCAACGATGGACAACTACATGGGGAACAAGACACTCACCCCCCAGCAATTCATACCACTTACAAACTCTATTCTAAACATGCTGGTAAAAGACATGAGGCCACTATCCATGGTGGAAGGAGCAGGCTTCCAGCTAATGCTAAAAAATTATTCTGGACTGATATTTTGCACTGTTTAGCTCATTTTATACTGCTGACTGTGTTCATGTGCTATAAAATAGATTGCAGTCAACTGCACAATTCTCTTATGTTTTTTTTTCTTAACTGAAATGCATCCATCACTTGTATAGGTTAAATAGCTAAACAATAACAAACCGATTAATCGATTAATCGAAAAAATAATCAACAGATTAATCGATTATTAAAATAATCGTTAGTTGCAGCCCTAGTTGTAGTTGAATCCCCCTTTTAGACACAGAGTTTTGCTTTATTCTTTTGTGTTTGACCATTCTTATTTGTGCTTGAAATAACTCAAATTAAATCAATTGAGCTTAAGCTGAATAAAAAAAAATCACACAATAGCAAGGGCAATATAAGTCTGTGGCTGTCATTCCTATTCTCTAGCCTAATCTTAGGAAAATACCAATTTCATATCAACAATAACACCTTAGTGGTATTAAAATAATGATCTCCAAAACATCATCTAAAAATGATAGCAGACGGTGTACTGCCCTGGTCCTCGAGGACCACTGTCCTGCAGGTGTTGGATGTTTTTCTGTTCCAATGCAGCCATTTTGAAATGATGGATTAGTAATGGTCTTCTCTTGGATTTGAAAGCATGCTAATAGGGCAATTCAGCCACTGAATAAAGTGTGTTATAGTAGTGAAACAAAAACGTAATGGTGGGTAGTGGCCTGTTGGGAGCAGGAATGGACACCCATGCAGTTAATGATCCTCTAGAAAATAAAATATTTTTCTTCTGATCTTTTGAAGAAAAATGTCACAAACACTGTTCAATAGTGGTTGGTAATGCTTTAGGCCAGAAATCTATGTTGTCCATGTGTCTATCTTCTCTATGGTAATCTATGGTAGTCATAAAGATGGCTAAAATCCCCAAAATATTTATTACGAAAACTTTAAAATAAATAAAATTGGCAAAGAGTTGGACAGCCAGACCAAGACAGACTGATTAGAAATGGGGGTCAAATAAAAGAACAACACAAAAGGCACTGATGAATGTCTTGGTCTGGAATTACCATTCCAAGGTTATCAGAGTGGGACATTTCAATTTAGGTCTTACCTTGGTGCAAATTTAAGTGAAAAGGGAGGAAACTACTTACAGAGAGAATGAAGCTGTCATTATAGATTAGGGTTTTAAATAGATGGAACTGGAATGTATTTAAGGAGTCAATTAAAAAAAATCATCATATTGTGAGAAATGAAATTATATTTAACAACAAAACATACATAAATATATTTTTGTTGCAGTAACAGTTGTAATAATTAGTAAGAAGATGTTAAATGTCATATTGCATCTTAGTTTCATTCCCTGATTCTACACGTGGACTAAGTTTGTACTGTATCTATCTATTTATTGTTTTATTATTTAATGTTTAAAATAATTTGAGCATTTATGTTTTGACACTATACCTAATCATTAAATCCACATCATCATCCCAGTGCACTGATAAATGCAGTCAGGATAGTCATAAAAATAGGGAATTTGACACTGTCACCTTCTCTAAAGCATCCTTTCCGATGAAGCAGACTTAATAACAAGCAATGGTTTCAACACTCCTGGTTTCCCCCTTCCCATTAGTGCAGCATTCACTGTTTCTGACGGACCATGTCAGGCCTGTGTGGAGGTGGAATTTCCCCAGCTGACAGATGCTTGTTTTTTATCTGGACACAGTTTTTGTGAAAATTATGATAAAATCATCCGGAAAAATGGATGTAGGCATCTATCCATAGCACTGTAAATGTGTACTGACACTATTTAGGAATATATAGTTTTGCAGGATTTCCCTTTAGCACATACCAACATGACTGACAAACCCAGAGCATTTGTCTATTTTTTTTTTTGGAGGGATATGGGCAGATGATGTATAGCCATGACTGATTGTAGTCCAGTGGTTCTCAATTATTTGCAGTAAAGCCTCCCCAGGATGCATTTAACAATTTGCGTATCCTCTCGCATGAAATTGTTTTTTTTTTTTTTAGGGGGGGGGGGTCATGGGTGAATCTCTCGCCAGTAACTGTGTGAGCGGGTGGGGGGTGGTGTTTAAGGATGTCAGGGTATCCAGAACAGGGTAGAGAGTGTGTTGAATATGACATCAGTGAATATCAGACGTGGGGTGGGAAGTTTACAGCCCCCCCCCCCCCCCCCCCACCCCCCACCCCACCCCCAAAAGCCCACTGATGTAGCCAATCCCAATTTTTCACAGAGAAGTAATATTAACATAATTCTCTTTTTGAAATTCTTGATTGAAAACCTTCACATAGAGGATCTCTTATTGCTGGTGTGAATTAGTGCTTAATGATGGTGACTTCAAAAAACTGAGAGAAAAAAAAAGTTGGCTGTTTGATAATGGTGCAATGGTGTGGTTTACCATCAACGTTTACAATTACCGTGTTTTAATCCAACTCTACGAAAGACGAATGAAGCCAATAGAGTTGACTTTACATACTGACCAAACTCATTCAGAAACAGTATAAAAGTGCTATGCTGCTTAAACTTTATTCAAAATAAGTTTGCCACTAATCAAGAATGTGGCACTGAAAGAAATTTGGTAATGTACTGAGCATCTGTCAATAAGCCAGTCCATAAAAGTAAAGTGTGTGTAAAATCCATGGACAGTAAGAAGCCTATAAAACTATATAATTTGTGGTCTACAGTCTGAAGCACGGCGGCTTGCACACCGCCCCATGGGCTTTACAGCTACAAGCAAATGATTTAAAGACTACATCCTCTGCTGCAGCGACCTGCGGGATTATCTGTAAAAAGATAGCAAGGATGTTAGAGTAGTGATATTGTGTGACTCTAGTAAGATGCACTTTCCACCTGAGGGCACAAGTCTAAGCTAGGACTTTCGCAAGGATAAACACATCCAGACCTCTTACTTCAATATGTTCTGGCTGAATACATTGCATATATAACTTATGAGCCTCACTCGATTAACGTTTGAGTGTTGCTTTCCTTTATCCACCACACATTCCCACCCACTAAAAACAGCCTGCACAAAGCAACCTGTATTTGTTGTGTGTACACCAAATTATGTAACAATGCCCTTCTGAAAGCAAAGCTAGGTTTAAAAGAAGATAGAATGGTGGCCATGCCACCAAATAGTGCTACCTTAATGGCAAGATAATTACCTTTATTCTGAATTATGATGACCACTTTGTGGTCACTCTTTTCATGAAAAATGGAGAGGCTAATAGAAATACCGCTTTTACCCATACCATCAAAAATATTTCTATGTATCAAAGATATATTTGTTTAGTTTTGTTTTACAAAACTGCCACAAAAGATCCTAAAATGACAAATGTACACAAAACCCATGCCGGCCAGCACCAGTCTTCAATGAGAGGTAAATAGGGCTCTTTCATCTGTGTCACAGAGTAACAATTAGTCTATGGAGTGATTATTAATTTCTATCCTTTACCCGGTGCCCTTGTTTGTTAGAGAAAGACAATGATCGCCTGCACACCTCTCCTATCCTTCTGTTGTGCTTGCTCTAAGTCATGCTGCTCTGTTCAATATCACCCGACCCCTACTCTTCAAGGCTGATCCAATGCTGATTCCTGAGATGTTGTGGTGTCAGTGACACCATCAGCCATGTGCGAAGGGTCATTAGCACTGCCATCATTAAATAAATGAAATCAATCTCCAAAACAGCTGGCTCCTGGGGAGGGAGGGGGATTTGGGAATATACAGGGAGGTTTTGACAGAGAATATTGATGGCAATGCAACTGTGGTGCGTGTGTGTGTGTGTGTTATATTTGAATATGCACATGTGTGTGCATGTGAAGGGCCCCATATCCTGAGCGTCAGATTGTTCTCAATCTCAGCCACAGTAATTATGATGTAAGTGGAACAACAGCGTGAGGTGTGTGTGTAGTAATTAACCCCAGGCAGCTGAGAAATGAGTCTAATGAGGAGTGCAGGACATTGAATCTGTTCAATCAATCCTTTTTTTCTCTCCTCTGGAGCATTTAAATGTAGCAGTGACCTTGTAATGGTTAACTGCGACATACATTTGAACCCATTTAGCACATCACTGTCTCTTTATTTATTTTTTGTGCTTTTTTCCTCATGTTAAAGGGGGAAATTCAAAACAGGTTTGATTTTGTCTTTGATGATTTTTACAATTACCAGAAAACCTCCAAAGTGGTCAGCCAGTGGAGCTTATATTTAAGTCAAATTAGTGGAAGAAACTAATGAAGCCTTAAGAAATATTGTTATATGATTAACATGAAAATGGAAAAATAATTTTAAACATGAGGGTAATAGAGTGAATCACACATTAGGGCTCACTGAAGGAATGCCATTACACAAATAGTATTACCAATTCAACTAATACAAGTTGTGTCACTTTTATTGCCCTAAATAAGTGGCAATCTATAATTTAATTAAGAAAAGTTCTATGAATTAAATTAAAGTTTTAAATTACACCAGCACCTGCATTATTTTGAAAGTACCAAATATGGAAGAGATTTTGTTTGTAGTTTATGAAATAAACACTGACTTGTTTTAAAGGGGTTGTATCATGCTAGTTTATACCGCCCATGTGTATTCCACAATAGTATACAGCTGTAGACCCCAACACTGCAGATTCAATAGAAATAATATTTAGTTGAAGATTAGATTTATCTCTGTACAACTATATCCAAATAATGCCAATTAGTGTAGCATTTTTACGCAGCTCATATTGTTTTTATGTCACATTTTTTGCATCAGTTGACGAGCTCAGGTTCTGAGAGGGTAGTGGATGTTGAACTAGCAGGTTCTCACTCATCCACTGAGGAATGGATCCAGAAAGAGCAAATTCCCATTGACTCCCAGTTAAAAAGACCAAATTCTGAGCCAAAATAAACGCGTTTAAAACCTGGTTCAATTTTAGGTTTATTAGGTCAAGTTTATCATCATGGCAACTCTGAGGGGAGTGAACTTTGTAACTCATTCATTTAGAAATAATTAAAGCTTGAAATTGAAAATAATTAGGGATGTGTTCTTTTGATTAACAGGTAACAGATGAGAGGTCAGCGCTAGCAATAGTGGCTTGCCCCCCGATTGCTC